TTAAATATCAAAAATAAATAACAAAAAAAGATTGAGCATTATCTATAAGCTTTAAATTTAAAGAACTTTAAGAATGCTGTTTATATAGAATAATATTACTAGATTAGTAAATATAACTTTGGGTTAAGTAAATCAATGTATAAGTATTATTATTTTATTAATTAAATAAGCTAAAAGTCATATCACATCTAATAAAGATCACAATGCAAAAAATAGAATAGAATTATTTTAATTACTTTTATGATGTAATAAATAGACTAAACTAAAAGATCATTATATAATATAGTAATTTATTTGTATATTGGGTTTTGATCATGTTTGAGTTTGGATTTATTAGTAATAAATATTATTTTATGCATTTTTAATCTATTTTAAAATCTTTTCAGTTTTTTATAGATAGATCTACAAATCAGATAAATGTCATCCTATGATGTAAACCTAGGAATTATAATTAAAAAAAATTTGTTGATGTTATCTTTGAACTCTAACCTAATAAAAAAACCTGTTCCAGGTATGTACATATAAATTATATAGTAAAATATATTGAATACTAATAGTTGCTATACCAATACTATAAAAAGTATTAACCAGTTACTATGAAGTTATTAATTTTTAAAAATGTACTAGGTATTGTAATATTTTTTAATAAGCTATGTGATTCTTAGTTATAATATTAACTCTAATTATTGTTATATTTATTTCAAATTTGATATAAAATTATAGTTCCAATCTATATAATGACTTAGCTGCTACATTGTAATTAGAGCTATTAATTAATCTTTAGCTAGATTATTTTAACTTACCCAAGCTAATAATAGTTTAATATTGATATAAGTATCAGCAGTGTTGTACATTTTAGCTACCTATAGCCTTTTTGACTTGTCTATATTCAAAGTCTAAGATTATTCAAAGCTTGTCTAGGTTTTAATAATTAATAAATCTATCTAAAAAATATATAACTATATATTTTTTTAAATACTAAATTTATTTTGATTAAAATTAAAATAGGTTATCTTAATAAAATTTTAAGTAATTGTACTTTATTTAATTGTTTAAGATTGTTCAAGATTGTCTAAAGTATTGTTCAAAGATATCCTTATAACAATATTGAGTATTAGTATTTTGATAGTATTAATAATCTTAGTCAAATACACAATTCTACTCTAAGGCATGTAAATATTAATTTGCTTAATAATAGAAAAAAAACAAAGAAATATAAATTATATAAGATATTTATATTTTCAAATTAACTATTATATATTGAGATCTGCATTAAAATCTATAGTAATAGTATACATAATCAATATAATAATGTATTTATAATATAATAAATTTGATAAATAAATATAGTGTATAATAACAAATAGTCTCATAGTCTCTTTTTTTTATTTTGCCTCTAAAAACTAAAATCTAAAAATTAAAAAATTAACTACTTTATTAATATTTTATAAATTTTAAACTGAATACAAAAACTGATTAATAAAACTATAAAAAAAATAATAACTATTTGCAAAATTACAAAAAAGTAAAAAAAAAAGTAAAAAAAGTGGTTTAATGAACATTTAATAATTATTATAATCATCTATAAAATGCAATATTACATATTTTTTTCCTCTTATAGATTTACCACCAACTGATAAAACATTCACAAGTCATCACAAACTTTTTGAATATGTTCAGATCTTTACTAAAACTCAAATATATACTATATCTATAAAGAGATCATAAAAAGACAGAAAAGATAAAATAAAAATATAACATTGGTATATAACAAAAGCAGTCTCTATAAGAACTATTTAAACTTGACAGATGATACTCACTGTAGAAAAACTGTATTAAAACTTGTAGATTGTCTATTTGAGCTTTTTGAAACCAGTTATAGTAATATTTGATACTTTGAGATTAGAAACTCTGAATATAAAAACTATAAAGTATTGACAGATATATCTGGGCATCTAATAGTTAGAAGGTTGAATGCTAAGCAAAAGGTGATAGTTAAGCAAATGGCTGCTGCTAGTTCTTATCTTTCAAATTTTATTTGCCATATATCAAAATAATCTATTTTTAATAATTATATTTAAGATAGTCTACAACATTCAACAATTTATTTATTAGAAAAGGCTTGATGGTTATACACCTGTTCAAGCTCTTTTTGATAAATTACAAGAATTAGATTTCAAATTTAAGTATCAATACAATTAGCAAAACTATATAACTTATCTTTTTTTTGTATATAGAGTCTCTATAGCTTTAACTTATACCTCCCTATTATATTACTGATTAATTGTATATATAAGACAAATCAATATAAAATATCATTGATGAATATTGTAGGTGTATTAAATTTTAAGACTACTTTTTTTTTTGTTTTGCTTTTCTATATAATAAAATGAAAGAAGATTATAAGTAAGCCTTGACTTGTGTTACAAAAATTTTTAACAAATTATCTCATTCCAATGTTATTGTTACAGATTGAAAATTAGTACTAGTAAGAGCTGCTAGAAAAGTTTTTCCTAATACTCATAATATTTTATATATATGGTATATAAATAAAAATATTTTAGTAAAATATAAACACTATTTTATTACAGAAGAGAGTTGGACTGAATTTTTAAAAACATGGCAAGTAGTAATGGCATCTAGCACTAAACAAAAATTTATAACTAAATAGAATAAATTTTTAAAATATTATACAAACAAATCTAAAACCTTAAAATATCCTTAAAAAACCTGGATTCTTCATAAAGAACATTTTATTTTAGCCCAGACTAATTATTACTTACATCTTTGTAATATTATAACCTTATGAGTAGAAGCAGTACATGCTATTCTCAAAAGATATTTGAAGTCATTTACAGATAGAAAAGATTAATTAGAGTCTATAAATTATGATTATTAGTTTACAATTGCTAAAATATATAACATAATTAGTATAAATGCCAAATTAAAAAAAAAACTTTGAATCTACTTTAGAAAATTGTTAAACTTTTTTTACATTCATATTTTCAGGCAATCATGAGTCAATGTACTACAAAATTGTACTACAAATAGAATTACAGCCAAGAAAAATTTGTGTAATAATTTCTTCTCAATATATAAGAATAAAATATGTATATTAAATTCCTCTCTTTGAGCCTCTCTTATACCAAGTTTTTACCTTCATGTTGAATAAGATTTATAATAAGCTAATTAAAGCAATGAATATAACTCTAGATTCTTCTCAAAAACCCTGTATAGAAACTTTTAAATTTACAATAGGGCTTCCTTGCTTACACATAATTAATGAATATCTATTAGCTAATTTGATATTAAAAAAGTTGATATTCACAAACACTAGTGAATCCAAGGTTGATATATAGAATTTTTAGAGGCCACATACCCTCTTAATAATGATCATAGCAATATCTAGCCTCTTCTGCAATCTTTTATATATATGTACTAATTTTGGCCACTATATTAACAAAACACTATCCAGTCTTAATTAGAAGAGTTGGTAAATATAATACCTGTTATATTAGAAAAACCTGTTACTAGTAAGCTACAAGAAAGACTAGCAAGCACAAGAAACAAAAGAACAATACAAAGAGATCTATTTGTATTTAAATATGTTGAAAAATAAGCAAGACAATATGACATATATTATCAAACAGGCCATAACAGTTGCACTTGCCCTAAATAGTAATTATTTTGCTTTTATATAGAAAATTTTTTGTCTTGTTAGTGCATATATATATACATACTTCTTATATAGCATATTATCACTTATTACAATATATAGACAAAAAAGTGTATTGAATATATGTATATAGATTAATTAATAAAAATTTAATTTTTCAAAAAAATATAAGCATAAAAAGAAAAATTAAGATCTTTTTAACTAAAAGACCAAGTCAACAAACTAGTTTTTAGAAGATTTTATTTAAAGTATATAACTAAATTAAAATTAGCAATATTAAATTAATAGTAATACAGCAAAATCAATATGTATTAAATTAGTATTAAATTATTATCAATTCATTAGATTATTATTTAATTTATTATTAGTCAGGATTTACTCATGAGAAAACGAAAAGAACTTTATATAAAAAAAATCTACAAATTAATAAATATATACAAAAAAGAGTTTATTACATTTTAAAAATAGATAAATAATGTGAAAATTGATATTTTATAAATAAATCCAAGCTCAAACATGATCAAAAACCTAATTTATAAAGAAATTACTATATTATATAATAAAGTTATCTTTTATTTTAGTTTATTTATTGTATCATAAAAGTAATTAAAATAATTTTATCTTATTTTTTGCTATTTAACCTTTATTAGATATTGATATGACCCTTAGTTTATATAATTAATAAAATGATAATACTTGCATGTCAGAATTCTGTACCAGGTTATGTTAATCATGTTATACATTGTGATATATCACATTATCCTTAACTATAATAACTACAAAACTAACCCTGTATGTATATACATATATAATAAAATACAGAAATATGTAGTAATAATGCTGCAATGAATCATTTGTAATACATAGAGTAATTTAAAGTTTATTTGACATATTTATGATCTAATTATTTAAAAAAATAAATAAATAAGAGAACTTGGCTTTTTGTAAATTTTTTTACTTGCTAAATATTTTTGTTAGGCATAGTATTCAGAAAGAGGAAGTTGATTATTGAGTATGCTAGGTGTTAGAAAGTAAAACCTAAAAGACAAACATAGTGAATTCAAAAAATAGAAGACAAATGTGGTGAGTGCAAAAAAGAACTAATAATATCTTAGAACTAATTTTTAGTAGATAGATACTTAACTTCTTATCAATTAGTAAGATAATGATATTCATTAAAGAAGTTTTTTTCATACATGCAATATAAAGCAAAAAAAAAAAAGGCAAGTTTATATACATGTTAGAACTATATTAACATCTTAATATAATACTATAAGTTAATTTTATAACTTTACTTTATTGCATAATAAATTAAGTGTATGCAATGATCTTTGAATATGAAAGTGTTAGTAAATCAATTTTTTAATGTAAAGGTATTGGCAGACTGATTTTTAAACACAAAAGTATTAGCTAGCAAATTGTTGAATGTGAAAGTATTGGTGAACTGACTTTCAAATACAAGGATACTGGTGAAATGACTTTTGAAGATACTAGTAAAATAATCTATGAAGGTGTTAGTGGTGCAAGTTTCAAGTCTGAAAGTACTGTTGCAACATTTGAATATAAAGATAATTTATGAGAATATGTGCAGATTTATATTTAACTTTAGATTATTTATTTGGTAAATATAGTATTTTTATAATATAAAAAACTTTTAGAAATACATGTGGGATTTGTTACTGAATTCTCTTAAAGGTGTTTTTTCTCCAAACTACAACTATGTTATTCAACGTTTTGTTGAATTGCCATTATACCAAACTGAAAAAAAATTTGAAATACTTCAGTTTGAAGTCAATGTATATGTTAATGTTAGAACTTTAGAAAGTATAAAGATATGGTATTCTGATTTTGAAAATTATTCAAAATCTACAATAGCACAAACAAAAGGATTTGGTGTTAAAAAAAAATATGTAATCTTTTGAGAATTATAGCTCTGTATTCATAGTCAAAAGAGTAAAGACAAACAAGAAAATCCTGAGGTTAAGCATACACAAAGTACACACAAAAGAAACACAAAATACACAGTGACTATAGGTTTAAGATTGGAACATTATTATGTGAATACTAATTATCTATTTGAAGTTAATCTTTATTTTACACATAATCACATTATTGATTTAGCTGAAGCACTTAGCTTTCACCATGTACATAAACAAACATATAAAAAATATATGCAATTATTTTATGATAGTTATTTCCTGCAAGTGTGTTGTATGTTTATGAAGATAAAATTCATCTTTCTGCTTTATCAAATGAGGAGCTAATTAGAACTCTTGCTGATCGTGCTGTTAATCCCAATTATGATTATGTCAAAACCATTTTTAGAAGTTATTGTAATTTACAACTTGGTAAAAAAAATGGCACATCAATATTTTAGCGATTATCCAAAAAAGTTGCAAATTATAATACTTCTGGTGATAGTAAAGCGATTCTTCAAAAATATAATTCACAAAATAGAAAAGTATTTATTTTATATATTGTTACTAGATTAATGAGTAGAGTTTATAAATAAATTATTCAAGCAGGTGAAATTTGCTATGTTGATGCATTTGTATCATTTGAGCTGTTATATATGTTAATAACACTTCTTTATACTGGCTGCATTATAGATGCACTACCATTAGATTTATTTGTAACATCAGACAAACTTGAAATTACTATCAAAGATGCTATTAATATTCTAAAAAAAATTCTTCCAAAGCATGCATTTTTTGGTCGTGGACCTGATATTGGGCCTCAATTTTTTTTAATAAATGATTCAGCAGCCGAATGAAATGAATTAAGGTTTTGTTTTTTTTTTTTTTTAATGTTAAAGGTGAGACCATGCTCTTATCTTTATTAAACTTAATGAAAACTTTTTACATGAT